GAGAGAATCTCCTTGCTGAGCATGGAGCCTGATGTGGGGCTCGATCCCATGACCCTTGGATCAGGACCTGAGCTGAAATCAAAGAGTCGGATGCTTAACCAAATGAGTCACCCAGGCGCCCCAAACCTCTCTTACAAAGATCCTAACGTAACCTCCGTAGCATCTGGATATCCTCTTGTAAATGCTAGCTAAAGCTTACATAAAGGCAATATGGTTTACTTTTTTTGTACCTATCCCCCTGGTTGATTCTCTCTGCTTCTATGCTACCAAATATGTCCACTGGGTTTTGAATTTCAGGTTTTTATTTTATTTTTTTCCTAGGAGCTAGATTTTGGTCCCTTTTCAAATTTTCTGTTACTTTTTATAGTTTCCTATTTTCTGAAGATCCTTTCAAGCCTGTCATTTCTTTCTTTAAATATAATAAGCATAGTTAATTTTATCATCTGTGCCTGATAATTCTAATACTGAGAGTCAGTGCAGATTGATTTCTGTGGTCTGCTGCTGGTTGTGGCTCATGTTGTGTTGTTTCCATGTCTGCTAGGTTATCTTTGACTGCGTGCTGGTCACCGCCCTGAAAATTTGGTTTGGCTGATTCTTAGAGACCTGATAAATACACCCTCCTCCAGACAGGCGTTTCATTGTTTTCACCAGGCACCTGTCACTCTAGCACATGAATCTGCCCCAAACCAAATGCAGAGTATGGGGTTTCCGGCCCATCCTGAGTATAGATGCCCATGACGTAATTCCTTTCTATGCCCACAACTTGTCAGAACTATGGTTTTGTCCTTGTCCTTCTCAGTCTTTTCAGTGCCAAGGGCACCTTACTTCTGGTTCACTTTTACCCTAAGGGTATATCTCTCTGGAGACCCACTTCATTGGGAGAAGGGTCCCCTACTACACTCTTCAACTGGGGTGGGTCCAGGGCTGTAACTTCTACCCCACTTGCCTGCCCCTCTCAGGCTACAGAAGTCCCTGACTCCTGCCCACAAATGGGCTTTATCAGGAAAATAATCAAACTACTAGAAAGTACTAAGAGTTTAAGGACTGGAAGCAAAACAAAAGGACAGGTTAATATGGTGGTCCCTTAAAAAATTAAACGCTGAATTACTATTTGATTCAGCAATGTGACTTCTGAGCAGGATTTGAATCGATGCTTGTACACCTGTTCATAGTGACCTCATTCACCACATTAGCCAAAAAGTCCACGGACAGATAAACAGATAAACACTAACAGGTAAAATGTGGTGTGTATACGTATGTATATATACATATACACATATATACATATACACATATATACATATACACACACACATCTACACAGACACACACACACACACACACACACACACACACACACACACACACTGGAATATTATTCAGCCTAAAAAAGGAAGGAATTTGTGACACACACTAGAGCATAGAGGACTCCTGAAGACATTATGCTGAGTGAAATAAGCCAGACACAAAAGGACAAATACTGTATGAATTTACTCAAGTGAGATACCTGGTGGCATCCAATTCATAGAAAAAGAAAGTACAACGGCGGCTGATGGGGGCCGGCTGGAGAAGAATGGGGAGCTAGTGTCGAATGGTGGCAGGGTCACAGTTGGGAAAGATGAAAAAGTTCTGGGGACAGACGCTGGAGACAGTTTCAGGACAACATGAATGTACTCAAAGCCACGGAGCTGCACGCTTAAAAATGGTTACGAAGGCAAATTTTGTGTCATGTACATTTTACCGTGATATTTTAAGTTAGGTTAGTTTGGGCGAGGGCTGCTAGAGCCACTCAGTCAATTCCACAGGGTGTCGTAATTTCACAGGCTTCATATTGATCAGTGGGAGACTCAGAAGTTAATTGCAGGGGTCATTAAACCAGTCTGGCCTCTCTAGAGCTTTGGAGGCCGCGGGATAAACCTCGGTCAACATGCAAAAACTAGTGCTGCTTGCCAACAAACAGAGATGTAACGATAGATTTCCCTGTAAAAAATGTAAATGCAATAATTTTCCTTTAACGGTATCAGGCATTGGAAATACTATAAGGTTGGTTATTTGGGTGTGGATCGACAATACTTAGGACACTGCCTAGGAAAGATTAGGGGCAAAAAATTGATGGGATAAGAGAAAGAATTCTCTTTAGAGTAGTTCCACCGAAAGAATAAAGAAATGTCTATTTAACAATGCTGTATCACTGGACTTCTCCCTTCTGAGTCCCTACATATACGGTTGACCCAACACAGGTTTGAACTGTGCAAATTGACTTATGCGTGGATTTTTGTCAAAAATACAGTGCAGGACCGTAAACGTGCTTTCTCATCCTTATGAGTTTAACATCTCTTCTCCGGCGTACTTTATTGGAAGACAGGAGCACAAAATACATGTAAGGTACAAAATATGTGTTAACTGTTTATGGTATCAGGAAGGCTCCAGGTCAACAGCAGGCTATTAGTAGTTAAGTTTTGGGGAGAGTCAAACGGGATACGCAGGGGGCACCTGGGTGGCTCAGTCAGTTAAGCATCTGACTCCGGCCCAGGTCATGATCTCACCGTGTGCGAGATCGAGCCCCGTGTCAGGCTCTCTGCCGTCAGCACAGAGCCCGCTTCGGATCCTCAGTCCCCTGCTCTCTCTGCCCCTTCCCTGCTTGCGCGCTCTGACTCCTTCAAAAATAAACCGACTTAAAAAAAAAATGTATATGTAGATTTCTGCCTGCACAGGGGGGTCAACACCCCTGACCTCTGCACTGTTCAAGAGCCAACAGTAATTCTACTACAGATTATGTATAATTAAATATAAATGGCACGAGACAAATTTACAGTTAACTTGTTTTTAAAATGCCAAGTTTTAGAAGCATGTATTTTAGTAATTGTGGGAGTTTCTAAATTTCTTCTATTAAAAAGAGATATTTAGAGTTCAAGTCAGATGATTTGATGCACATTTCTGGGTGTAAACGCCAACACCAAGCAATACCGTAAAATAAGAAACTGGCAGCAGAAGTAACATTCCTCGCTGTGACTTCATGAGTAACACGTGCTGAGGGCCACTGCGTTGCAAATACAAAAAGCTTACCCACACATCCATATACACGGTCATTCCAAACTAACAGCAACATGACTGCTTTGCACGTAAAAGAGACTTCAAGAAAGCTGTCCCTGAATCGGGATGACTGTTCCTACTTTAGAAGCACAGAGATGAGAGCTAATCCTTGCTCACAGCTTACTATGTGCCAATACCACACTAAATGCTACAAATCTGTCTCTGTGTATATATCTACATCTATATCATCTGTAACTAAACCTGTATCTTTATCTTTATCTATATTAATTCATTTATTCCTTACAACAACCCTGTCGGGTATTTACCATTAGCATTCCCATTTCAAAGATGGGAAAACCGAGGCAAAGGGGAGCTTGGGTTTCTCCAAGGTCGCATAGTCGGTGAGGGGTGCCGCTGGGAGGCAAGTCCAGGCTCTAGGGCCCCCACTCTTAACCACCCCACTGCAGGGCCTCTCTGCGTAAATATGGACAGTCAGGGAAGACGGCCAGCGTTAGACGCTTCACCTGTTCTACACGGTTTAATGTTGATAACCAGGTTACCCACTCTTTTACACGTGGGGGAAGTGAGGCTCAGCAAGACTAAGTTCCTACAGAGATCAAGGCAGTTGGAGTTGGAGGTGGGAGTAAGCCTGCATCTCCCTGTCTCCAAAGTTTCAGGATCTAGCACCGAACGAAGTCCCCGTGGAGCAAGGTCACATGAGAAGGTTGGTAAAGTGAAGAGCAAGGATGTGTTGCTTTTGCAGGATGCAGAGGCACAGGGTGTCTGCTATCTGGTGGATGAGAATTCCGGGGCTGGGGAATGCAGGCACGTGATCACAGGGGAGCAGGGAGGTCCCTCAGACTTCTACTTCCTGAGGTTCCAGAGGCCTTAGCTACCTCCTCAGTCACCCTGTTGTTCTAGACGTCTGTCGAACCAGCACACCAGGTAAAGAAGGTAATGCTTCTCAAGCTACACATCTCCGGTGACCTTCGCACAGAGGATCCTCGATCTAAAACTGGGTACGGATCAGAGGGATCCATTGTATTTTTCACATCGAAAGGGCTAAGAGGCAAAGCGTGTGCTCCGATCACCAGTGTTCTGAGGGCTATTATAGTTTTGTTTCCAATAAAGGTATCAGCTTTATAAACCTGGTGCACCTTTGTGGGAGGAAGCACCCAGTAACTGTCGCTTTGGTCAGTACCACTGTCACTACCGTTTATCATCACTTACCTTTGGGCGAAGCACCACGCACAGGCAACACGGAATTCAAACCTCACAAAAATCGGCATTGGAGCTTCGGGTGAATGGTAAGTACCTATGTCTGAATTGCCTGCCGTCCTTGTCAAATAATGAACATCCATTCCAGCCCTACTTAATCAGAATCTCTAGGGCAGGGCCAACGGGTCAGTGTTTCAAGAGCCACGCCAACTGATTCTTGTCTTGGCACAGATAGCCCCATTTTATGCACAAGGTATCAAGCAGTAAAGTGACTGCCAAAGACTAACATCACTGAATATAGGATGCGAACTCCACCAGACTTCAGAACCTGGGCTCTTAACCGCTCTGGAGTTCAAGCTTCAACCATGAAGCTTCCAAGTAGAAAAAAGGCACAAAGTAAGCAAGATCGCCTTCAACACCTGCGATCATCTACCAGCAGCGACCTGCCTACTGTCACACGATTTCCCAAACTGGTTTTCTCTGTAAGCATACAGAGACAGATCCTATTTTAAATCTAAAAAAAAAAAAAAAAAATTAACAGTGCATTATACTTCTCCTATGCTCGTAATCCTTCATTTTCACAAGATTTGGGGCTCTTTTAGCGATTTCAATGCTTCATCAAAAGGGACTGTCTGCAATAGAAGAGCAGCCAAATCCCTGTGGTAATTAGAGAAACGCAGGCAACTGAAAGCAGAGTCAATGCACAAGTGATGATGGGAGGCAGAACGGTAAGTGTAGAGATCCCTTACCGCAAGACGTTGACTTTCTGTCCACTATGTTCATACGCCTGGTCTCCGTGCGGAGTTTCCCGTCTGTGTTCTCCACCAGGTTGGCGAGGTCATCAATTATCTCTAGGAAGGAAGACAGAGATGCATGGTTAAGACTCTAGAAACACCCAGGCTCACATCAAAGTATCACAGCGGTGGGGCGCCTGGGTGGCGCAGTCGGTTGAGCGTCCGACTTCAGCCAGGTCACGATCTCGCGGTCCGTGAGTTCGAGCCCCGCATCGGGCTCTGGGCTGATGGCTCAGAGCCTGGAGCCTGTTTCCGATTCTGTGTCTCCCTCTCTCTCTGCCCCTCCCCCCGTTCATGCTCTGTCTCTCTCTGTCCCCAAAAAATAAATAAACGTTAAAAAAGTATCACAGCGGAGGCCGGCCTCCCTACTGATAATTCTCTCACGTGCAGTGAGGGGAAAGGTAAAGAGCTCATGTGTGTTCTTTGGAAACTGCAATCCTGATTTATAAGAGGTGGTGGTGGTGGTGGTGGTGCAGGGCTGTGGGAGTCGTAGCAAAGGGAAAAACCGATTGAATGCAAGTCTGGAACACAGAGGAGGAATGTCAGAAGTTCCGGGGAAGAAAAGCAGGACCCAGCAAAGTTATGCCCAGCCACACTGTCATGCCAGCTTTATGGCAGATGGACTACAGGAGATCATTTCTTGTTTCTTATGTTTGTATTCTAATTATTTTCTTGCATGCTTTCTTTGGTGGGAAGAGTAGGACAGGGTCCTTCTTGAGAAAACTGCTTGATGACGAAATCTGGCCAACCAAGGGGTGAAAAGAAATAAAGAACTCTAGGATAGAAGAAGCCAGAGACCATGACCTAAGAGATGGTGGAGATAGCTGGAGCCATCTAAATACTGAGTTGGGAATCAGCAGATACAGGGATTACGTTACAAAAAGGTAGACAAATGTTGTAAACAGCGACGATGTAATTGTAACCGAAATCAGGAAGCAGTTGGGAGGCTGCGTGGTGGGAGAAAGGTGGAAAGAATTTGAAGGTGTTAATTTCCCCATCATGCACAGCAGAGTCCCATCAAGCTGTGGAAAAGCAAAACACAGACCTATGGCTTTTCAAAATCACCAAAGCTTCAGTGCTTTAGGTAATTTTTTTTGTTAACCTTAGATAGATCTTTTAGTAATTACCATCTCTTGTAAAGAATCCTCTACCGTGAAGTTGAGTTTTTTTTACGCTAATTGTCTTCTTTTAAGATTGAATTATTAGAGTTGATACTATGGTAATCTCCTTAAAGTGAAATTAAGCTCTTAGTAACACTTAAAATAGGACATATAGCATAATCCTAATGATGTAAAATTACTTCTAGCCGCCCTTTCATATGGACAAACCTACAAGGATATATCTGGATGATGGGAAGGATGATTATTTCTAGGTGGTGGGATCCTGGGTGAGCTTCCTTGTGTTTTCTGAATTGTGTGAATTTCCTCTAATGAGTACATAGTCCTTTTTTATTTTTTTATTTATTTATTTTTTTACATTTATTTATTTTTGAGAGACAGAGCATGAGTAGGGGAGGGGCAGAGAGAGGGAGACACAGAATCGGACGCAGGCTCCAGGCTGTGAGCTGTCAGCACAGAGCCCAACATGGGGCTCGAACCCACGAACCGTGAGATCATGACCTGAGCCGAAGTCAGACGCTTAACCGACTGAGCCACCCAGGCCCCCCACATAGGACTTTTTCAGTTTTGGTTCCCTTTCTTCCTTCTTTCCCTCTCTTCCTCTTTTTTTTTTTTTCTTTCTTTTAAGTGAGTGCTTTAGAGATCCATTGTCCAATATGAGTCACTGCTTCTGTTAAAGAATTAAATAAAACAAGGTAATCAAAGAAAGTTTTCAGAATGATGCTGGAGCTGTGTTTTAATTTTTGTTTACTTAGGCATTTTGAGAGAGAGAGAGAGAGACAGAGAGAGAGAGAGACAGAGAGAATAGAGCCAGCGTGAACAGGGGAGGGGCAGAGAAAGACGGAGAGAGAGAAACTCAAGGAGGCTCCACAGGGTCAGCACAGAGTCCAACACAGGGCTTGATCTCGTGAACTGGGAGATTATGACCTGAGTCGAAATCAAGGGTGGGTCGCTCAACTGACTGAGCCACCCAGGTACCCCTGGAGCCGAGTTTTAAAGGCCGTGGGCGTAAAGAAGCAGGAAGACGGCACTGCTCGCGGGAAGAAACAGCATGTGGAAGGCACGGAAGAGGCGGCCGCTCCTCCTGGGCTCCATTTCCTTGCAGACCCGTATGTTTTGTATTCTAATTACTTGCTTGCCTGCCTTTCTTTGGTGGGAAGAATAGGACAGAGAGGCTCACTTTCCTTCATTGCTCTACCTGTGATGCCCAGTGGAATGTCTAGTACACAGCCAGATAAAATAAACACAAAGCGATGGAGGCAACGAATGGACAGAGTCTAAAAGAGAGACAGAATTTCAAAGTACTTTTCTGTTTCTTAGGCCAGCAGATCTAGGCCAAAACTGTCAAATGGTATCTGTATACGGGCTGCCCGGAAAACTTTTCGCTACCATTTAACAATGCATTTGAGGGTTTTTTTGTTCATTTTGTTTTTAAGTTTATTTATTTATTTGGGACGGGGGAAGGGGCAAAGACAGAGGGAGAGAGAGAATCCCAAGCAGGCTCTGCACTGTCCTCATACACTGTGTGCACGGTGCAGAGCCTGACGTGGGGCTCTGACTCATGAACCGTAAGATCATGACCTGAGCCGAAACCAAGAGCTGGACACTCAACCAACTGAGCCACCCAGGCGCCCCAACAGTGCACTTGTGACTCTCCAGTCAGTGACAGTCTTCTAGTTTTCCTCCCGTCTCCAAGCTCTGCGAAGTGTCTTCTCCCTCTTAAATGCCCACAGTCTCACCCTTCTGTATATTTTTACGCTGTAACACTACCATGGTGATTTTATGTACCTTTCAGTTTCCTCAGTATGTAAATTAAAAACCTGAAAATCTCTGCTGTATATAGCTCCCCAAAATTCTTGACCCAGGCAGCCAAGTGCCTACTGTTTATCCGTACCTTGAAATTCCTACAAATAGCTGAGTCTCAGGGTCTCTAAACTAAACTGTTCATCTTCCCCTACGCCTGACCTCCCCCCTCCGACGGCACCCATCCACGGCACCAACGTTCGCCTGCTGGCCCACGCGAGAAATCTTCAGTCGCTCGGCCTCCCCCTCCCCCGGTCATGCCACTTGAAGCCACTCGACTTGACCCTGCCTCCCGGGATCTCTCAATCTCATGCTTTCTCTTAAACTCTGCTAATATCTCACAAAGTTGTGCCAGTGTTTCTCGAACAATGTCCAAACTTATCCTCCTGTTTCTAGTTCTGCATCTTCTCGTTCCGCCCTCCACACTATAGCCAGGGACGCATTTGGATTTTTTTCATATTTTAACTAGTTAAAACTCAAATTTAAAGCCACTTGTGGGTGGTGACTACTATATCAAACAACGTATCTCTAAAGCAATCATAAAAAAAAAAAAGAAAGAAAGAAAGCCATACATCAATATATAGAGATTTAAACAAACAAACAAAAAAAAAAACAGAGGGAGGGGCTCCTGGGTGGCTCAGTCGGTTGAGCGTCCGACTTCAGCACAGGTCATGATCTCACGGTTCGTGGGTTCGAGCCCCATGTTGGGCTCTGTGCTGACAGCTCAGAGCCTGGAGCCTGCTTTGGGTTCTGTGTCTCCCTCTCTGTCTCTGCCCCTCCCCCACTCATGCTCTGTCTCTCTTTCTCTCTCTGTCTCAAAAAAAAAAAAATAAACATTAAAAAAAATTTAAAAAAACCAACTGTCAGTAAAAAATAGAAACCCAATCCCCAGGGCTCATCTACTCTCACATCTCAAGAGTGTGTTTTTCATTTTAATAAGCTTTCCTGCTTAAGTCACTTGCCTGTGTTGCATGTCTGTCCTTGAATTCCTTCTCGTAACAAGACCAAGAACCTCCAGCAACACCTTTGGGATGGGCTGGGTTGTGGCCCCCAGGGCCCTGGGTCTCCCCGGTCCACCCGGCGACACTTAGAAATAAATCCAACAAAAGATGTGCAAGCCTTGTACACTGAAAACCGTAAACCACCGCTGGTTGAGAGCAGGTTGAGAAATTAGAGACGGGAGTGCTGTACTACATTCGCGGACTGAAAAGACTCCATGTTTTAAAGACACCTGCTGTCTCTCAACTGATCTATAGACTCAGTGTAGCCCCAGTCAAAATCCTGGCAGGTTTTTCATTCACATGTGGAATTTAAGAAACAAAAGAAATGAACAAAGGAAAAAAAAAAAAAAGAGAGAGAGAAGCCAAGAAACACTCTTGACTGCAGAGAACAAACTGATGGTTCCCAGAGGGGAGGTGGGGGTGGGGGATGGGTGAAACAGGTGATGGGGATCAAGGAGGGCACTGGCTGTGCCCAGCGCTGGGTGATGTGTGCAAGTGTTGAACGACTTACCCTGTACCCCTGAAACTACTATTACACTGTGAACCACGCTGGAATTGAAATAAAAAATTCATTAACTCATTCATTAATTTAAAAAATGCTAGCATAAAAAAAAATAACACTGGCAAGCTAATTTTAAAATGTACATGGAAAGGCAAATGGTTTAGAATAGCCAAAATAATCTTGCCAAAAAAAAAAGGAAAAAAGTTGGAGGTACTATACTACCCAAATCCCAGATTTATTATAAATATATAGCAATCAGGACAGTGTGGTATTGGCAGAAGGACAAACAGATTTGTTCTATGTGGACCAAACCAGGGGCGCCTGGGTGGTTCAGCTGGTTGAGTGTCTGACTCTTGATTGCGGCTCAGGTCATGATCTCACAGTGAGTTTGTGAGATCGAGCCCTGGGTCAGAGACTGCTTGGGATTCTCTGTCTCCCTCTGTCTCTCTCTACCCCTTTCCTGCTCATTCTCTCTCTCTCTCCCCCAAAATAAATAAATACACTTAAAAAAAAGGTAAACTAGAAAAAAATTAAGTTTACAATATTCAGATACTCCTAAGATTTTCCAGGAAGGCAGGCAGGCATGCATTCTGGGAAGACGGGGCGAATGCGTTAGAACAATAAAACCGCCAG